AACCCGCCCGAGAGGCAGGAAGCTGAGGCGGCCGTCGGCGGTTTGTCGTCAGGAATATAAAAGACGCTGCCACATTATAAACGCAACAACAACAACAAAAAAAGCTTTGCACTCCATTAATTCCAAATCAAGCTCATGTCCACACAATCACTAATATATTTTTAACACCTCTCCCCACCCGCGCCAATAAAGCTAGTGCGAACTAAAAGCTTAACTGCGCGGCTACGGTAAAGTAATTATTAGCTGATTTAATTTAGGCTAACACCGATGCACTTTCAATCACGTTATTGAACAAAACGGCAAGTAAACACAAGCAGTTGTTATTGTTCGTCAACTGATGCTGTTTCTCGACAAGCAGAGAGGCTAGCGGTTAGCCAGTTAGCTGCCAGCCAACTCGATGCTCCAATTTGTTCAGGCCCAGGCCAAGTCCAACTTTGCATTCAGTCACAAATACGGCACTGTACAACATGAGGATGGCGACCCCAAGTGGACAAAAATATCTGCACCTCACGTATCACATTGGCATTGTGAAGGTTTGAAATACATAGAATAATTTTTCAAAAGTCACTGCTTCCATCTGTCTGTAACCTAACCCCCACAATAAACAAGAGTTTATTGTCATTTTTTTTTTTATAAATGTGACTATCCATGTACAATTGTATGTTTCCGCACACAATTCTAATTTCCAAAATTTACAAATGTTATTCTCCCCAAAACAATCTCTTAAGACTGTTTTTCTTGAAAAAAAAAAAGTCTTCTTGTCAATTGTTTTATTCTTCAGTGGTCGGGAATGTTGAAAAAAATCGTGTTTCTCGTAGCTTGTTTTTGTTTAAAAGAAAAAAAAGACTACCGGTATTCTAATTTTAATATTTTTTTGAAAAAAAAAAAAACTCTCTCTCTCTCTCTCTCTCTCTCTCTCTCGTACTTTCTCTCCTGCTTTCTCTCTCCTATCTCTCCCGCATTTTCTCTCTCATGGTCACTCCCACAATGAAACTGGCAGCTGCCGCGACACGTGTTTTTGTCATTTTCCCGGGGGTTTAACTCCCCATGTGTCTTTGCTTGCGCCGCGGTCAGCCTTTGCATAAGCTTTTCCGTTTCTAATCCGACCGCTCTTCCCTATTAGGCGTCCAACTCTAAATTTAAGGTCTTTCTCTCCCTGAAGCGCCACTGCGCCGCCGCCTCCCATATTTGAACTGATCCCTTGAATGTGCGCTGCATTCAAAGCACACCGCCGCATGTGTGGGAGCGTGCAAAGAGAGCCGTCTTTGTGGTGGCGAGCGGTGAAGACCGCACCTTTTGTCTGCATAGCACAAGTGCGTCTCTCAGGCCCATAAAGGGCATCCTGTTTTCGTCTGATACAGAAGACCCCCCACCACCACCACCACCACCATCAAGCCCTCCCTTTTCACTGAGCTCGGTTCATCATCGGACGTGAATGGCTGCATCACGCCCTGCGTTGTTATGAAGTCTTTATGAGTTCAAACACTGTTCAAGCAATGTTGATTTGCTCCGAGGTGGCGTGCGATGAGGCTTTCAAGACCCCAAAAAAATGTGACGGGATCATTGCGTGATCATATAATGACATAATAGCAAGCAATATGGAAAGTCCATGTAATTGCCCTTAATTTGACGCATGTCTCGACGGAGGTTTGTTTGTCACAAAGACATTTTTTGACATCAGTACCGGAGGGGAAATAGTCACCAACTCTGTTTGACGTCGATTTAGACCTTCACGCTTTTATTTGTCAAAAGTTGTGATGATAAATAGCAACTAATAGGGAAATCAAGTGGTTTCATAACGATTTGTGAGTTTACCAAGTGCTGCAGAGGGAATTTTTTTTTTGGGGGGGGGGCGTTATGTCATCATATTAGGTCATTATTGATAACATAGTAACAGATCAGGAAAACCAACCTCATTTTTGACATCCTCAATGTCCCATGTCTTTTTTTTTCCCTTTCTTTCATTACATTTTTTTTTTTTTTTTTTTACACTTTCCCCAATTGTGCGTGCCGTGTAATTGAATCTGTTCCATTTTGTCCCTTTTCCAGCAGATTGCCAAGCTGAGGCTGCAGCTTCAGCGCGGCAAACAAGGGAGTCGGCAGAGCAAAGAGCGAGACGCCACGTCCGGGACGCCACACACCCAACAAGCCGCCGCCGCTGCCGCCGCTGGTGCCTGTCCTTCACAGGTTAGGCACAGCCAGCCCCTGAACACTAACCCCCCGCCCCAAACATTACTTTGGCATCTTTGTGCCAAGGAACAAATGTTTAATCAAGCCATAGTTTGGTTTAATTGTAAAATAGAGCTTTGGTGTCACCTTGTGGCATCTGCAGAGGATTCTAAACCGTTTTCGGTGGGGCTGTCAATTCATGAATTTTCAGGACTCGCGGCAGAAGTATTCAACACCGACACGTCCACCCAATCTATGCGTCGACTCACGAACGTCTGCCAGCTTACATAACACATCACGCAGAGCGCCGTGTACTGGTTTATGGAAACTAGCATAGTTGTGACGGTTCTTCGAAACTTTCAAATAACGGCTACCTTGACGCACGCGGAGGAGCAATACATACAAAAGGGGATTCAACATTATTTCAACACCAAAATGGTTCAAAATGACACCATGGCGTTTTGTGTAGCGCGAGGCTGCTAGCTTGACGCTAACGCACAATGCGAAACATCGTAGATGGGGGGACTGCAATGTTTCCAAAAACTACAGCTACTTTAACACACACAGGGGGAGTAACACTTTCAAAAAGAGCTCACAACAATACTTCAACGTATTTCTCTCTGTTATGCGGGGACGACAACTAGCGCTTTACTGGCACTTATGTTTACAATACAGTTGCTGTCTTATCCTACGTTTGAACACACACAGGGGGAGTAACACTTTCAAAAAGAGCACACAACAATACTGAAACGTATTTCTCTACTTCATTTTCATATATACTGCATTTGTTTCTTTTGTTTTTTTTTCTTCTTCTTTCTTCCTCTTCAGCATAAGGGATCTTCTTGTTCTTTGTCCGCCAAGTCTCTGATCTGCAGAGTGCCGAGCAGTGTGGAGGCGATCAACCACGAGCTGGAAAACGTCTTCATCAGACATGATTGGGAGCACGGCTTACAGGTAAACGCCCATTGGGAGCGGTAGGACTGTTATTATCACGCCCACACCTTTTGGATCCACATTACCATTCAGTCACGTGGTCGTCACAGTTTGACTTTCAATTGACTTTTTGTGAATGGCTTTTAGTTGGAGATGAACCAAGAATCTATTCAGTGATATTCATTTGAAAACAAACAACAACTCCAATGTACCTTTGAGTAGTACCCCAAACAAGTAAGTTACAAAAGTGTCCTCTGAAAAAAAAAAAAAAATCCAAATTTAGGGATTGATTACTTTTGTCATCCAGAGATTCTGACTCTATTGTGAATAATCTGACTTTCTCCCAAAAATAGACATATCTGTTACTCAAAAATATGACTTTAGTCTTGTAAGATTATATTTCCTTCTTGAAAAAAATGACTTTATTCTTGTAGGATTGATCTTTATTCTCCTTAGATTGCAACCTTTTTCTTGGCAAACATGACTATCTTAAAACAATTTTTTTTTTTTTCTTTTTAAGAAAAATGATTTTCTGGAAAAATATTGCTTTTATTCTGGGGGAGGGTTCCCTGAAAAAATCTGAATATATAGATTTAAAAAAAAAGTACAGTCAAACCTTGGTTTTCGTCCATAATCCGTTCCAGAAGGCTGTTCGAAAGCCGAAATTCTTCGAAAACCGAAACCATGCTCTTTTTAAAATAAAAATGTTTACCGAACACGTCTACTCACAATGGAAAGCAACACGAGGAAGCGTCACGTCCTCGTGTAAGGAAGGCGAGAGGAGTCAAATGGTGCATTCAAGTGCGCTCAGTTTGTTCGAGAACCGAAAGTTGTTCGTCATCTGAGGCATAAAAAACTCGAAATTTTTGGTCGAAAACCGAATTGGACGAGAACCGAGACTTTCGAAAACCGAGGTTTGACTGTACTTGTAATTTGCCAACAATTTTATAGAGATTTTATGATTTAAAAAAAAACAACTTTAATCTGATAATTTTTGATGTCTTAAGTTAAATTCTTTGTTTTTCTTGAAAATCATGGTCAAACCTTGGTTTTCGTCCATAATCCGTTCCAGAAGGCTGTTCGAAAGCCGAAATTCTTCGAAAACCGAAACCATGCTCTTTTTAAAATAAAAATGTTAACTGAACACGTCTACTCACAATGGAAAGCAACACGAGGAAGCGTCACGTCCTCGTGTAAGGAAGGCGAGAGGAGTCAAATGGTGCATTCAAGTGCGCTCAGTTTGTTCGAGAACCGAAAGTTGTTCGTCATCTGAGGCATAAAAAACTCGAAATTTTTGGTCGAAAACCGAATTGGACGAGAACCGAGACTTTCGAAAACCGAGGTTTGACTGTACTTGTAATTTGCCAACAATTTTATAGAGATTTTATGATTTAAAAAAACAACTTTAATCTGATAATTTTTGACGTCTTAAGTTAAATTCTTTGTTTTTCTTTAAAATCATTAAAAAAAATCTTAATACTATTTAATTTTTCTTCATTCTTGTAAAATTATGACCTTTTATTTTTTTAAACCCCCATTTTACCCAAGTGCTGTCTCTCGCCTGTACAACAGGCCACAGACGCAGCAGACGGCCGTCGGGCTCCTTTCCCGCTGCACCGCTACAGCAACATGGGGGAGACACGGGACACGGATACCCAGGCCCCCTCCAGCGGAGAGTCCAGTCCGTCCCCCCGACTCCGCAGCCCCCTCAGTCCCCAACACCTGCACTCCCCGGACGGAAGCCCCTCGTCCTCAGCGGATGACGTGGACAAAGGTTTAACTCCTCTGCTCTACTCTAGCGTATTGTTTTGTTTTTTCTAGTTTTAATCGTATTTGTTTGTTTGTAGAAGGCGCATGCGGCTCGCCCCTTCCCAAGTTTGCCACATCTCCCAAACCCAACAACAGCTACATGTTCAAACGAGAGCCACCGGAAGGCTGCGAGAGGGTCAAAGTCTTTGATGAGATGCTGTAAGTTGACATTAATTAGCTTGTATCAGAGTACACTTCCGTGCTCTCTATCTTGAATTCACTTCAATGCATTGCGAGGTAGCACGAGCTTGTATCAGAGTACACTTCCGTGCTCTCTATCTTGATTTCACTTCAATGCATTGCGAGGTAGCAGGAGCAAAAAAAAAAATTCTGCCCGATTTGTTTGACACTGTCCTAGAGAAATTCATCTTAATCTTGTTCATAATAATAAATCCAATTTATTCAGTGCTTTTCTCAACATAGACTGGATCATATCTCTTCTTCATTAAAAAAATGTTTATTTGATTATTGTTGACAACTAAAAAAAAAATCAATCAATGTAAAAACACTCCAAAACAGTCTTGAATAAAGATTTGCTTATGTGCTACAATTTCCAGTGTAAATTCTTTTTCATGTAACGTGTTAGCAACCAATAAAAGAAACAAAAACTGCCGGATGGATTTTAATCAACGCTTTTTGTTTTTCCAAGGTGTGGCCAATCAAAAGGCTTCCCGCTCTTCTCGTGTCCCGACAAAAACAAGGTGAACTTCATTCCTCGAGGTTCAGCTTTTTGCCCGGTCAAGCTGCTCTGCTCGTCCCTCTTCTCGCCCATGTCCTGCTCCGGCGCCGATGCCGACGCCGGCGCCAGTGCCGCCAGTCTCCACAGCAATGACACCCAGTCTCAGGACACGCCCAACTCGCCCGATAGGCAGGAAGCTGAGGCGGCCGTCGGCGGTTTGTCGTCAGGAATATAAAAGACGCTGCCACATTATAAACGCAACAACAACAACAAAAAAAGCTTTGCACTCCATTAATTCCAAATCAAGCTCATGTCCACACAATCACTAATATATTTTTAACACCTCTCCCCACCCGCGCCAATAAAGCTAGTGCGAACTAAAAGCTTAACTGCGCGGCTACGGTAAAGTAATTATTAGCTGATTTAATTTAGGCTAACACCGATGCACTTTCAATCACGTTATTGAACAAAACGGCAAGTAAACACAAGCAGTTGTTATTGTTCGTCAACTGATGCTGTTTCTCGACAAGCAGAGAGGCTAGCGGTTAGCCAGTTAGCTGCCAGCCAACTCGATGCTCCAATTTGTTCAGGCCCAGGCCAAGTCCAACTTTGCATTCAGTCACAAATACGGCACTGTACAACATGAGGATGGCGACCCCAAGTGGACAAAAATATCTGCACCTCACGTATCACATTGGCATTGTGAAGGTTTGAAATACATAGAATAATTTTTCAAAAGTCACTGCTTCCATCTGTCTGTAACCTAACCCCCACAATAAACAAGAGTTTATTGTCATTTTTTTTTTTATAAATGTGACTATCCATGTACAATTGTATGTTTCCGCACACAATTCTAATTTCCAAAATTTACAAATGTTCTCCCCAAAACAATCGCTTAAGACTGTTTTTCTTGAAAAAAAAAAAAAGACTTCTTGTCAATTGTTTGATTCTTCAGTGGTCGGAATGTTGAAAAAAATCGTGTTTCTCGTAGCTTTTTTTTTGTTTAAAAAAAAAAAACTTCCGGTATTCTAATTTCAATATTTTTTTTTTAAAAAAAAACATCAACTTTGCATTCAGTCACAAATACGGCACTGTACAACATGAGGATGGCGACCCCAAGTGGACAAAAATATCTGCACCTCACGTATCACATTGGCATTGTGAAGGTTTGAAATACATAGAATAATTTTTCAAAAGTCACTGCTTCCATCTGTCTGTAACCTAACACCCACAATAAACAAGAGTTTATTGTAATTTTTTTATATAAATGTGACTACCCATGTACAATTGTATGTTTCCGCACACAATTCTAATTTCCAAAATTTACAAATGTTATTCTCCCCAAAACAATCTCTTAAGACTGTTTTTCTTGAAAAAAAAAAAGTCTTCTTGTCAATTGTTTTATTCTTCAGTGGTCGGGAATGTTGAAAAAAATCGTGTTTCTCGTAGCTTGTTTTTGTTTAAAAGAAAAAAAAGACTACCGGTATTCTAATTTTAATATTTTTTTGAAAAAAAAAAAAAAAGACATTTCTGGAAAGATTACAGTTATTCTGTAAAGGAGCACCTGAGCCAATCAAGACAAAAGGTGTAAAAAATGTATGCAACTGTTT